GCATCTGCTGAGTGAGGTTATAAGCCTGCCTTGAATAGGAGGTCTGACCTAGTTCTGGTTCCTCGGGCACTCCTTTGCATAATGCTAGACACTCTCACATATGCGACAAGTGTTGTTGAGGCGATAGTAGGATCGGTCCCCATGATTCTTGCCAAAATACTGGCAAGTCTTACCGCGACCTATTGTTGGAATATGAGGAGGAGTCTGAGTCATTGGCCTAGGTCTCTTATTCTGTTGAACAAGTGCAGTAGGTGTTAGTCTGCAGTATGAAGCCGAGGGCTTGAGGTTCCCCACTGCTGTAAGGAAAATACGAAGGTTCCTCTCTATTAGCCGTGCTTTAGCCAGAACAGCCGAGTACGTACTGAGCTCGAACATATACAGTTGCTGTCTGATCTCAAGACGGAGACCCCACTCGAACTTTTTTGCCTTCCTGCCTTTATCCATCTTGCTCTCAGGGGAATATCGGCCTAACTCTAAAAAATTTTTAGCATATTCTGATACAGTCATCTCACCTTGGACCATGTGTGCAAACTTCATTTCCTTCAGATATCGGAGATGCTCTGGAATGTACTCTGCATTAAAAGCCGTCAAAAATTATTTCCAAGTGACAAAAACGGGCAGGGTAGCCTGCTTGAGTTGCCACCATCGGCCTACTTCTCCCACCAGCATGTATGTGGCAAGTATGACTCTTTGTTCGGGAATCACTCTAAGAGTCGTGAAGGCCTTCTCTATCTCAGCTAACCAGTACTCGATCTCTTCAAAGGAGGATTCCCCTACAAAAGTAGATGAGTTTAGTCTTTTATACCTCTCAATGTAGCCTAGGTCCATCATGAGAGGAACTGGGTCCCGTGAGAGAGGGACTTGATTGTGTTGGGGATGGACTGGCTGGCCCTGTGGTGGTGCCTGATGATGCGGTTGGGGCACCAGATTGTACTGTGTTAGTGCCTGATGATGCGGTTGGGGCACTGGACTATACTGTGGTGGTGTCGGATGATGCAGTTGGGGCACCGAACTATACTGTGGGGGTGTCGGATGGTACTATGGAGGAGCAAGATCGTACTAAGGTGGCTTGAGATCCTCTCGCTGCAGGGGTGGCTTAACATGTGGCAGCGGAGAAGGGTCAGATAGCTCCCTCTTTTCCTTCCGGGCCTGCTGGGCAGCGATGAGTCTCTCCAGCATTTCAAATAGCCGGTCAACATCCTCTCGAAGCGAACTCTCTCGGGCTGCTCAGTTTAGTGGGGGGTCTTCCTCTCCTCATCTATTTGTACCTATATTTCACAATGAACAGTTGAGTGATAATTCATTGTTTTTGTATTTTTTAAGGATTTTGTGTAAGGAATGGTTCTGAGGAACGCGACTCTGATACCAATTGTAATGATTCCGAAAATTCTAAATGAAATAAATTATAAATTTAGCGTGGAAGCGAAATAAATAGTTATGATCTACATTCTTTACACAAAAATTCAGATTACCTAATAGGGTTATGGGAAATGACTATTTTAAAAGAAATAACGAAAAATTAAAGAAATAAATAAAAAATAAACAATTGGACATCTTACTCGCAACTCTCTTGCGGATCGGGCTCCGTATCCTGGTCGTCTTGATTTGAAATGCTTAATGAATGAATGAGCTACACTAATGTAATAAGAATATCACGCTACTCACCGACACAGAAATGAAAGCTGGTAGAAATCATCAAAATAACTAATGGAGCTCTTAATTTAAATAAATTTATTTGTTATAAATAAAATCATTTACCGCATACTTATCGTAGCGAAATTTCTAAAAACAACTTATAGAGTTAATAACATAACACATGTTCTCCGATGCGGCGGCTCCGCCGGCTCACATTCGCGGTTGGGTATTTCGCTTCGGTCAATCTGTAGAGAAAGGAATGATGATTATAATGGTGAAAAAATTACACGAAACGGAAATCAGGAAGGGCCTCATCGAAGGCGATTTTTGCTTTTTCCTGCAACGAAGCAACTGGGGTTTACTCGCGGCTTTCGGCTCATCCGCCGGTCATTTTGCTCCGATTTGGCCATGAAGGTGTTTAAAATTGAATTTCGAGCAAATAAAAATTGTTTTACCTTTTTTGGCGGTCGGAAGTGGCTCCAGTGCGGCGGCAGGCGGTTCCCTTCTCGGCGGCTGACTCTTCTTCTCCGGCGGGGATGTCTGGCAGCTAGGATTAGGGTCCGGTATAAATATGGTTATTTATATCCGTCTCGTTTTAATTTGGGCTGTCTATCGTGTTTGATATAAACCGTCCAATCGTAATTAAATAGAGAGTGAATTTGAATTATTATCGCGATTTGATCTAATTCGTTTGATCGCGTTTAAATAGGAAGTGAATCTGAACCGTTCATCGCGTTTAATCGTGTCCGTCTGATCACGTCAGAAGAGGGAACAGATCTGAATCGTCCGTGCGCGCGGGAACAAATCCAGACCGTCTGATCACGACACGCGGATTGCCAGTGTAGCCTCTCACGTGGCACCGTGTCAACGTGACTTGCCACGCGGCGTACTCCTGTTTGTCGGAACAGCTGACTAGGCATTATACGTGGCACAATTTTTCTAAATTACGTTTTTACCCTAGTTTCTGATTTTTTTTTTTTTTTAAATACAATCAGAACTCAAATTTTTTATCCATTTTTTATAAAATTGTTTTTAATTTCATTTTCCATTTAATTTTCTTCATTTTTATCTTAAATAAAAATTAAAAATTTTTAAAAAATTATATTTATTTATTAATTTTAATTACAACTAAAATTAATTAAGACATTACATGGTTGGTCATCGCTATCATTCAGATAGATTGAGGATATTGACTTGAGAAGGGACTCATACTCATTGATCTCCCAATTATTAAGGTTCTAATCAACTCCACGTGTTATTCTCGAGTTCTCCTGGTGTTTCTGAATAACTCACCAGTTGTGATGTTTTTATGTCGTGCAATAGCAAAAATCTAAAAAAACTGATCTCCAAATGTTCCATCTCTAGGATCCGTCCAAAAACTTATTCTTTTCTCATCACCAACCCTCCACTTAAGACATCCCCGAAATTTATCCCTCTGCATACAACATATTTGGCCACCTCTGAAAGCTCAAGCTAAGAATTTCTTCATTATGGCGAACCAACTCCTAACAGTAGCTTCAAAGGAACTATGTTTATAGACATCTTTACAACCAGCTATAACCCCACCAACAATTTGCAGCTAAAAATATCTAACACCCCACCCTTGCCAAAGCTCTCAACTATGCTAAGTACTTCTGATCAAAGTTCCATATATATATATATGTATATCATGCATATCTAATCTCATCATGTTCACAGTGGATATTCTAACAATAAGAAACAGATTTATAGATGAGATCAGATAATAAATCATATAATTCCTTCAATAACCAAATACGAAGCCCATATAATTCCTTCAATAACCAATACGCAGCACATTTTCATCAACATAGGAACTCCAAGTCTCCAAAAAGGATCCAAATCTGAATCATCCACTGACCACAGAAAAACAGAACACATATATTGACTTGGAATATGGAATAAATAAATTTTTATGTCATACATATTTTTCCTTGCTTTTGTTTAAAAATTCTTTTCGACTAGTGGAAGAAATTGGCAGTAAAAACATTAACAATATTGGCAACAGAAACCATTATAGCTTATACAAAAGTTTGGTACAAGAAGTACAAAAATTGACTACATAGAAAATGACAATCATAGATTTAGTACCAATCAGTAAATGGAGATAACCATGTCATTTCAAAGCATCCAGTGCTTATTGTCCTTACAAACAAACAAAGGAAAAATTTATGCATTACATATGATCTGAACATGTATGAAACTCGCATGACTCCAACTAGTCCAAACACCCCGATTACCTCTTGTCATCATCCTGCTTTTGACTCTGCCTTTGCGCTGGCTTTTGCCTCTGATTTAGCTTCCCCCCTTGCTTGAGTTGATTCTGTGTTCTTCGCATCACCAGCACAACAACCACCACCATGCTGGTGCGGATGTTGGTGGTGGTGATGATGATGGTGGTGGTGATGATGAGAATGATGATGAATCTGCTTCCCTTTTAGCTGCTTTCTCATATCATAGGCATCCTCCCCATCTGCATAATACTTAGCCTCCACATCATGAATCTTATATCCCAATGTCTCTGTATACAGATTAAATGCAGCCCGGTTACTCTTCCTCACATGCAGAGAAACATACTCCGCTCCAAACACCTGTCAGACATTACTGAGACATAAGCCAAAATGCCAAATGCGATACACATGCTATTTTCAAGTTCTTCTTTTACAATTATTTATAGTTGCTTTATCTAAACTCCAGAAGACCTCAGATTTATTCTAAGGTGCTTCCTTTGGCTTATACAACATGCAGCACAGGTAGATTCTCAATATTAAGTTCACTGAAGACTCTACACTCCAAGAAAAGGTGAAACAGCTGAATATGCCATACACAAAACACCAATTTCATCCTTTATTTGTTGCTAGTTTCCTATTCTACTTATTAATATTTCTTTCATCAACCCAAAAAACAATTATATTCACAAACATGCATATATCCTATCAACGCATTCTCATCCGATTTCTCATGCAAGAAGAGAAAAGAAATGCCAGAATTCCAAGGTAGTTTTCTATTTCAACATCAGCCAATAACACAGCTGCATTAACAAGACCAGACACTACATTCCACTTACACCAATCGAGGTCAACATTTTCATCGTATATTCTTCGAATTGCAAATATCCAATAAAAATTAAAAAAAAAAAAACAACACAACGATCCAATCATAAAAGACAGAGTAGAAAATTAAGGATTCACCTGCTCCATGGCAGCCTGTGCGGCGTTCATGAGCTTTGTGGCAAGACCGAGCTTGCGGTGAGTACGGAGGACGGCGAGGGAGGTGATATGACCATGGCACTCATTGCTCTCCTCCTCCATCTTCGCTAGGACGTACCCGACGATTCGACCGTTGTAGTCCTCGGCGACGTAGAGAAGCTGTGGCCATGAGAGAATATGGTAAAGGTAGTACTTCATCTGGTAGTTCTCCGGCAAGCACATCAAATTGCATGCCTGCATTGCCAACAGGTCGTCCACCGTTGCCTTACGTATGCACACCATGGTTGCGAGTATCTGAGGGGTTTGGATTTAGGGTTAGGGTTTACTCTTTCGAAATCGTGCCTGATTTTGCTCGGTTCAGTCTCTGGAGGGCGTATTTGATTGGGGGGAGAGAGTTGGTCTATATAGAGGGGTAATTTGGGAACACTAGATTGGATTATTTATGATATAATTTTAGAAAATTTTATAAAAAAAATAATAATATAAATATTATTTTATATAAATAAAAAAATTAATAAAAATGTGAAAAATTGTCATACCTTTTGGGAATCAAGTTGGTGATGAAAAATATATACACTATCGTAATTTTTTTATTTTAAATAATTTTTTTATTTTTAATGAACTAATGATTAAAAAAATAAATAATAAAATAAAATTATTCTTAAAATAAAAGAATTAACACGTGTTAATTTTAATATATTAGATATATATATATATATATATGTAATACATATTCAATACTCTGTAATAAGCTTTTACAAATTCTATTCAGGAGTCAACTTAGGAATTCCTGAATTCTTGTCTACAAACTTAAAATTATATACAAACATAATATATTTCTACAAAATTTATATTATTTGTTTCTTTTCCAGCATTTGCTTTATCTTTCTTCTCTCTTTTAGGAGTATTATTCTTGCTACTTATGACTTCATGTCATGATGTATATGTGTAAGCAAATTCATACAAATATGAATAGAACATATGTATATGTTTTTTATCTTAGTATTCAGTATATATGCATACAGTCGTCACAGATCTTTAAGTTCATACCCTTTTTACCTTTTTTTAGTATTACTGTACTTGCATACTCTACCCATGTATGTGTCTATATTTACCATTTAGGTTATCATCCCTAATTATGAAGAAAAATGGAGGTTCTGAGTTATTGTGATTTACTTTTTATACACACATCCTGTGTATATACATACACTCAAGAGTTAAAAACAAATAGAGAAGTTTATGGAACCCTAAAATGATATAAACAACACCTGAGTTAGTACAAATAGCAGCATATTTAAACCCTATAATGATCATTAGGGAAGTGTATGGAACAAATGGAAGTAGGTATCAAGATCATCACAAAAGCACATATATAAGAGCTCTTACGCCTTTTTCTCATCACTCCGGTTGAAGATCCTGATTTCAGCCAGTCTCTGTGTTGTTAAATTTCCAGACGCTTATGTGCTTTCCACCGTGTGTGGTCACCACTTTTTTCATCCCGACAGCCAAGCAAGTGATAGGTGGTCGAGCACTTCTAGGAATTCTGTCGATTTCGAAATCTCCCAAGACCCTTCTTCCCTTTTTTCTCTCAAGAATCACATGCTCATTCCTGGAGGAGCTTTGCAAATTCTTATCATCCATAACACAGCTTGAAAGAACTTCTCCCGTGCTCTGATTCAAGATACGAAGTACTCCATCTATGCCGCCAGCAACTAACAGTGATGTATCATTTCGCTGATGTTGCAAAGAATATACAACATTTGGACTCGCTCGTCTTTCCCATAGTACTCCCCTTTTCCTGCAAGCATTAACCAGCATTACCTTCCAAGAATAAGCAGAATTATCCAAAAAGGCCTGAACTTTGGTACAGAATAGTACAGAATAGCAAAACAATAATCGATATTAGAAACACAGACATCAAACATGGATAACTCCTATTTTTTAATTAGTAGTTCACATACCTAAGGTCCCAACAAGATATGTATCCAGCAGTCGTCCCCGCAAAAACAAAGTGAGAAGAAGGGTTGAAACACAACGTTTTGATGCCTGTCAAGAGAAGGTGAAATCAATTAATGCAATGTAATTGTCGTATTTTGAAAACAATCCAGCAAATAGCAAAGAAATGTCCTTTTAAACAATAATGGAAATTGAAAAGCAACGAATTCCCAAGCAACAAAAAGCTTGAATATCTCCATAGTTTTGTATTAATGAAAATTTCTAATGTGACTCAATTTCAGAACAGATAACTTCAGTGAGGAGCTAAACAATAAGAACAAATACAACCATGAAGTCCAAAACAAAATTATAGTATTGTAGAAAGTATACTTTTAATCCTCTTTGATCTATGTGAAGAAAAACATTATTCTTGTCTTGTAGATATGCTCAGGAAGGACTTTGAACTTTTATCTTCATACAAATAATATCCAATTACTTTCACAATCGTCTACTCTAAAGTTAACTAATAATATTCAACAGTTAGTGCATGTACGCTCTATGTTATATTAAAGTCATACGGCCAAATGACGAAAATTCTATTTTCACCAGCAGGGTCAATATTTCACATGCAAAGATTTAAATGGCATGGAACAGAAGCAAATATTCAACAGGAGAAAAAAAATAAAGCAGTCAAGTGTGCTTTCCTGATAAAAATCAATATAAACCCATTGACGAATTGGTCAAAGATTTTTAACAAAAGAATAAAGTCCAGAATACACTGAGTTCCTAAGTGTTTCTTAACCTACCACCTCTGGACTCTGTTGACTTTAGTCTCACTACTAGTTGATCAGATGAAGGATCTGCTACTGTGATATGACCAAGAGCGGAACCACTAAAGATTATTTGGTCCTCACTCAAAGCTAAGCATGTTAAGGGCCAAGCGTGCATCCTGTAACCAGAGAAGCAAAACAGTATCATTAAAATGCATTAAACTGATTCTCATAGTTAAAATATACCACTACATAAGGTCACCTTAAAAGGCATTAACAACCAGCAGTAGGGTATGACCAACACTTTCTTCCATTTTAAGGAAAAGCAATAGCAAAATAACCTGCCACTTGTCCTTGTCAACCTTTATAAGCATTTCCGGTGGAAAGCAGTTTCTTTCCAGCCTCATGATAAGAATTTTCATTAATAAAATTTGATTGGGATATTTTTGTATCAAAGAATTTTTCGGTAATTGCTATTATTTAATATTTTAATTTATTTAGGACTAACAGGAGGAGTTGTAGTTTAATTAGCAAGCCTTTTTTTTCATACTTTTTTTGGATATTTGAGTTTGATTTCAGTTAGGATTTAGAAACCAGTGACGTTTTTGTTTTGGTTGTGGATAATACCAATATCACAGTGTCTTTTTCCTTCGGATAGAACCTATATTATGGTATTAACTAGAAAAATATGTTAGGTTATGACCTATATTATGGTATTAACCAGAAAAATATGTTAGGTTATGTTGGAGAGAAAGTTCTATATATGATTTTTCTTGGTACTTTTCTTCCTTGGTTCTTGTGTTTGGTTCTCTTTTCTATATTTCTTCACTCTTGTTGCCCTTTTCATATGATTTTCTTCCTCTATCTCTGTTATCTCTCTTTACTATTTCTTTTCCTACCTCACTAATATAAGTTGATTCGAGCCATACAATTACTTAAACTACAGAGTTCATCCATTTTCTAATGACTAAATATAGATTTCATGTAATACCCGGGTCCGAGATTAATTTTCATATATTATAAAATTAATTAAAAATATTATTTTAATTTAATTTTATTAAATTATTTAAAAAAAATAAGTTATGGACGTAATTGAAAACAATGTTAGAAAAAAATGGTGAAAATTTGAGTTCGCAAAATATTTTTAAAAGAAAAATTGGAAACAAGGGGGTCAAAATGCAAAAATAGAAAATTCGGCCACGTGGGACTGCTCAGTCAGCAGCCACAGCGAACCAGAGCACGCTATGTAACAAAATACGCTGACATCGGCACCACGCGGGAGGTCACACAGGCAATCCGACGACTCAGATTCATTCTCGCACGCGTAAACTGCTCAGATGCATTTTCTCCTAAGGCACGATCGGAAGGATGAGATCAATCGCAATGAACGACTCAGATTCACCGACGCAATCGGCCTAAACAGGCAACAATCGGATGACCCTTCTCGCTCCACGTCGACGCGAATAGAAAGCTCAGATCGACGCGGGATAAGTATAAAAACATTGCGTTGCAGGGGAACCCTAACCCTAATCGCACCTGCCTTCGCCGAAGAAAGACCAGCCGTCGAAGAAGGAGACCGACCCCGGGCCGCCGCCGCACTAGAGCTACATCCGACCGCCAAGAAAAGTAAAAATCTCCCCTACCTGCTGGGAATTCGATTTCGAGTCTCCCCGTAGCCATATTGGAGCAAAAGAGATGACGGGTGAACCGGAAACCGCGTGCAAAACCCGGAGTCGCCACGGCCAAAACCCTAAAACCTCTCCGATGAGTCCCTTCCCACTTCCCATTTCACGCAATTTTTCGACCATTATATTTATCGTCCTTTTCTGTACAGGTTAGTCGAAGAAGAAACTCCAGCCATGAAGGAGAACCGGCAGAGTCGCCACACACGAAGACCCTCCTCCCCCGGTAGGTTCAATTTTTGTGATTTTTCGACCAATCGAGACCCCCTAACATATTTTTCCACAAGAATACGCGTAAAACCAGCAAAAACCACCTAAAACCAGCCAGGCTGAGGCAAATCGCCGTCGTGAGCAACAAAGCCAACATCATCGTGCCGAAACCCTAAAATTGGCCATAAAGGGATTTTCGACACTGATTTGGGGTTTTTTTAGTTGCGTGATAAGTATTTTAGATTCTCGCAGAAAAATTCAGGAAACCCAGGATCCGATAGAAAGCGTAATAGATAGTGCGATGTCTCGAAACACCAATTCGAATAAAAATCCTTCACCCTATTTTCGGTTACGATAAATTGAGAATTAATAATTGATAATTGTGTGTTTTGTGAAAAATTAGAAAAACCCTAAAAATATTACAGATCACTAGTGGAAGCAGAAACGGTTAGTTTACATTTATCCCGATTTCCTGTTTATTTTCTTGTACCGCCTATATTTGCTTACTATTATACTATGCATTATTAAATTGATGGTTTTTATGATCTTCTCAATTATTTTGTTATTTGGTTCCTCCTGCATTGTTTGTTCAATATTCTGATTATTTGATTATTCGACTATATTAAATTGTATCGCTAGTTTAAATGTCATTCGAATTAATCTGTGAATATGAAATGAGATATTGATATACTTTAGTGGTTATTTGTATGATGAGAATCTAAATAAATGAAAGTCTACTCGGTATCCTAGGAAAGGGTGGACGGACCCGGTACATAAGGAATTCTACCGTGAACATTACGTCAGTCGGACGGGGTTGAGAAATCCCATACCGGATGGGTTTTGGGAGATATGGTTCACCCCTCATACCGGACGAGATATCGAGACGATAGTATTTTTGGCGCCCATTACCGGACGGGGTATTAGAACGGTCAGATTAATTGTCAAATCATGATACTAAATTCACGAGTAGAGAGATATCCTTATGGACCCCTAGGGGTCCTAATAAGTAGGATAAAAAAGAATGATTGCTAATTTTATGCATGGAATTAAAATGTCATTTGGTTGATTGTTTTCATATGTTGATTTTGGAAAAAAATCGTATCGGTAAGTATCAAATAAAAAGTTTTAAAATTAAATGTATTTACTTAAAGTATGGACTCCATTAGTTGTTTTTTAATTTTTACCAATTTTTGGTTTTCCTATCAGTAATTAATATGATATTCTTACTGAACTAGTGTAACTCACCATTCCATTAACCATTTCAGATTAAGAAGATCAAAATTCAGATTCCGATCAGCAAGAGGGTTGTCAATAGTCCACCTTTCGAGCTCCCTTCAAGTGCTAGTTAAGGTTGCTCTAAAATACTTATTTCTTTGTTTTTCTTTAATTATCATTTGTCTTTTATGAACCACGTAAAATGGGACATTTCTATAACCCTATTGGACAATTCAATTCATTGTGTAAGGAATGTAAACCCTAATATTATTACTTGCTTCCGCATTTAAATTATAAATTCATTTTTTTTAAGATTTCGGGTCTTTACATTCCACTTTCAAATGAATTCAAATACATAATAAGATTTAATTTGCACATAAAGGTACAAGACCAGAACTTAAAAGCTCTCTAACATAACATTGTCAGAATACATGATAAGATCTAATTTGTAAAAGTTTTTGGCCTCCAACCTTTTTTCAGAAAGATTATAAACTCTCTTGAAATATTGTTAGAGAGCTTAAGGGCATAAAGTATCAACTTATCTGTTGGAGAGCTTATAAGCTTAACAACTTATATGCTCTTACAAGAGAAGGTGAACCAAACATCTTCTAAATTATGTGTTTGGTTCACAATTAAGAATAGCCCATTATACTCTCATTTTTATGTTTGATTTGGTAATAAATCAGGTTGGAATAAAAATATAATTAAACATAAGAGACGTTTACATTCTCTTTTATTATATTTGGTTGAAAATGCATTTCACTGCAATTCCAAAATTAAATAATAAAATAAGTAATAATTAAATTTATCCGATATTAAATAAAATCAACAAATTCCATATAAATTATCTTTTTAACAAAATTCTAGTAAAAGAATCAAACACAAACTTGAAATTAATAAATATACATTTAAAACAACTGAGAAAAAATTTAAACATATTACACATTTTTGTTTGAAAATATTGTTTAATAGGAATTGAGGATATAGCTATCAAAAATAAAAAATGGGAATCAAAGAGATATAATCATGATCATGACGTTCAAAACATGAATTATGATTATAATATCTCTCATAATCAACTATAATTGTGATTGACCAAACTGAACACCGAGATACTCATGCCTATCATAATTGCAATAACATTCTTACTTCATTACACCCTAATTCAGTGAACCAATTTATTCCTCCTACCAAGTAGTAACTCAAATTCTTCTACTAACTTTTGTATGTATGACCATGGGGGAGCACCAATTCAATTGAATAACAAACAAAAAATAAAGTTCCCTCCAAAATATACCTGACGATACGAGAACATTTTCTACTGTACATATCAAATACACAAGCTGTTCCATCCTCACATCCAACTACGGCCTCTGGATCAAAGTAACTGTAAGGGAAGAGAGAACCTATTTAGTTTTGCAGACAATAAACCCAAGCTTCTTAGAAGATAGATCAGTTACACACTGGAAGAAAATTTCAGAATGCTTAGAGAGTCGTGAATGAAATGTAAACTGAATCTATATTTTTTTAAAATAAGTAATGTAACTGAATATAAATAAATCCTTCAGAATACAAATAATGACTACTTACCTTGAACACCTAAAAATCATAGCCATTTAGCTCCCACCTAATTTTCTAATAATATATGATAGAATGACATGGGAAGCTAACTGTGTACACTTATTTGATTATTAGCCACATAATATTTATTTATTTTTCCTCAATTTCCTTCAATTTGGATTGAAATAGAAGATTACTGGAAAAAATATATCACTAAGAACGAATGGGAAGCATCCTGTAAAATTTACTAAATCAGTATAACCAGAGCATTTTTCCACATACCGCATGCATAATCCTTTTGAAAATGTGCCTTCCTGCGAGGGAAATATAGTTTTTTTCCCGTTTCGCCTCCATATGCATATCCGATTACTAACCAAACCAACAATCTAGAAAACAATATTGGAAGAAAATCAGAGAATAATTTCCTGAAGTTTACTAATTCATGCCCAAAAGTTGCAATTTAATCATCGCAATTACATTATCAACAAAAACAGTAGTTATGAAAGCCTGCTTGTTTAGCAGTTTTTAACACTAGGCATCATGTGACTAGCTAGAGGTTAGCACATAAAAGGCATATAAGAGATGTTGCTTTCCTTTTTTTTCTCTTTAGAAATAGAGGTAATGCTCTGCTGCACCAGTCACAAAATGAAACTAACAAGAAGAGATGAAAACACACAGGAAATAAAAGGACCCTACTTGCAAACTTCATGGATGTAACTCCAACTTAAAAGGAAACCAGAAACAAGACTCTAAACTTTTAAGGTGTTCAGTGTGCTAATCATTAAACTTCCTCCAATTTCTTAAATTCATCAATAATTCTAACAGTGATGATATTATGAGTCGTTTGATAAGACCAAAGGAAATAAACACCAATAGAGTACTGAAATTGGTGAAATTACTGCGGAATTCTGCCAATGGCGATCGTAATAAAGAAATGATAGCAGTTTCAAGAGTGCTACCTCCCTCCAACTACAAGTCTATTAATTACCTCCCGCCTCCATCTATTCTGTTTTTCCCATATATTTCCCTCTCTCCTTTCCACAATCCAAGGTCTAACTAACTCCTCCTATTTCAAATTACAGAACAGTCCCCAAGCAAGGGTATATCTGATAACTTATCCTGCCAGCTCAAACTTCCTTTTTGTTCCCCTCCTCTCATAAGAGAACTTAACTGGGTGCCTGTCATCTTTATGACCTTACAAATCCTTCAATAAGGTGCCCAGTAAACAGCATAACCTGTATGTGTAAGTTCTTCCAAGATGAGGAGCAACTCAATCTTGCATTCACATTTAAGTTTCAGATGCGAATTTAATCAATATTGCCATTTTCTTATATGTTAAGCAAAAGGATGCATTGGTCTCAAATATCACATTTCAAAGTAAAAGCAAATAGGTCTCCTGACATCACCTTGCTCTCATCAAAATCGAAATCAACCAAAGGAACTGCACCAGGGACAT